CATCCGCTCCCACCCCCCACCCTACCCCACCCCACCTCCGTCTGCCTACACAGATGGAGAAAGCCAAGACCCATTACGATGCCAAGAAGCAGCAGAACCAAGAGCTACAGGAGCAGCTGCGGGGCTTGGAGCAGCTGCAAAAGGAAAACAAGGAGCTGAGGGCTGAAGCTGAACAGCTGGGCCATGAGCTGCAGCAGGCTGGGCTGAAGACCAAAGAGGCTGAACAGACCTGCCGCCACCTTACTGCCCAGGTGCGCAGCCTGGAGGCACAGGTAAGACTGGCTGGAGAGATTTGCCTCATCCCTGTCCTGTTGGACCCCTGTGCCCTCCTGTCCTTGGCCACTCCCGCCTTAGGCCTTTTTTTATAATCCTCATGGCCCTCTCCTTCTCAGGTTGCCCATGCAGACCAGCAGCTTCGAGATTTGGGCAAATTCCAGGTGGCAACAGATGCCTTAAAAAGCCGTGAGCCCCAGGCTAAGCCCCAGCTGGACTCGAGTATTGACAGCTTGGATCTGAGCTGTGAGGAGGGGACTCCACTCAGTATCACCAGGTCAGGAGGCACCTTTCCTCCCTGAGTCTGTTGTTCACTGAGGGCCTACTCTTTATTAGGCTATATCCTGGGCAGTGAGGCTAGTGAGATAACTAAGATGTGGTTCCTTTGCCCTCTGGAAGTTTATTCTTAGAGGAGAGGAATACAGAAAAAGTATTACAGGTGTTATGCCAGATGTTTGTTTAGGGCACAGTGGGAATAAAAAAAAAAGCAAGAGGTCAGGAAAGGCTTTGTGGTGGCTGTCGCTCCTGCTGGATCTTGAAAGAATCTTTAGGTGTGTACACCAGGTGGACAGAGGAGACTGCACAAGCAAAGACTGAGGAAAAAGCCTGGCTGGGCAGGAATGTGAGGTTTGGGAAGGCTCAAGGTCCCCTTGGAGGCTGGTGTTTAGACATGATCCTAAAGGCATCAAGGAACCTCAGAATGTTTTGAAACTGAGGAGTACATGGTTAGATTTGCATCTTGGAAAGATTATTCTGACAGCCAGTGTAGAAATTAGGACTAGAAACACATTTATTGCTTTTATTAAATAAACATGTATGTTGCACTTACTATGTGCCAGACACTGCTGTAACAGTTGCAACTAATTCATTTATCCCCCAACAACCCTCTGAGGTGGGTTCTATTATATCTCCTTCAACAGATGAAATTGAGGCACAGAGGGGCAATCACTTGCCCAAAGTCCCACAGTGGTGGAGCTGGGGTTTGAACCTGGGCAGCCTGGCTCAAGTCCTTGCTTGCCACCACTCTGTTGCCTCTCTCAGACACCATAAGTCTAGGTGAGAGGAGGTGAGGTGGACCAAGGAAGGACATAAGCAGGGAGAGGGTGGGGTTAGGACAGCTGTTCAGGAGGCATGGTGCTTTGGCTTAGTAGGACAGGGATGGAGGTAGGATTGTACCCGGGTTCATGGCTTGGGGACCTGGGTGGAGATGCAGGGGAAGAACAGACAAATGGGCTTCATTTGGGAGATGTTCATTGTGGAGTAGCTGAGGGCATGCAGGGATGCCTGGGGAGATTGGATATCTTTGTCTGGAGAGCAGGGTCTGGGCCACGGCAGAGATCTGGGAATTGCCATTTTGGAGGTAGTAGAAGCCATGGAAGTAGACTGAAAGGAGGGCCTAGGTCAAGGGCTGTCCTGGATGCCTCTGAAAAATCAGAAAGATAGGGAGCTTAAGCTCATCTGCTCATAATAAATGTAGGAAATGGTCACTTTGGAATAAAGGGATGGACAAAATGTCTTCTAGCCCCAGGAACCGCACCTCAGCAGGTTTCCTTTCCACAGCAAGCTGCCTCGTACCCAACCAGATGGCACCAGCGTCCCTGGAGAGCCAGCCTCACCCATCTCCCAGCGCTTGCCCCCCAAGGTAGAATCCCTGGAGAGTCTCTACTTCACCCCCATCCCTGCTCGGGGTCAGGCTCCCCTGGAGAGCAGCCTGGACTCCCTGGGGGACGTCTTCCTGGACTCGGGCCGTAAGACCCGCTCTGCTCGTCGGCGCACCACGCAAATCATCAACATCACCATGACCAAGGTCAGGCTATTGGGAGTGAGGCTGCAGGCCAGTAATGCTCACTTCCTCTCAAGGGGTCCTCAGTCAGTAGCAGTCCATATAAGAAAGCTGAGATCTTGAGAAGGGCAGTGACTTGCTTAGGACCTCCTCTGTAGAAAAGGGCAGGGCCGAAATTCCATCCCTGTCTCCTGACTCTTAAGGCTAGCGTCCCCTCCATGTGTAGCACTGAACCTGTGCAGGCTGAAGGGAGAGAATACAGGAAGTTGCAACGCATCCTGGGCCTCCCAGTACCCCCCAGTGGCCTGCTTACCAGGCTGTGGGCTCTTGCTTCCACATCTCAAGGAGGAGGTTGGGGAGAAGAGAGGTATCTCTGGTGCAGCAGGGAGGACCTCTATGTGTGGGCTGCCCTCTGCTACCAAGAAGCTGGAGAAGTTATAGAAGATGGTTGGGGCCTTGGGAAGCTTACTCTGAGGGACAGCAGAGGCTGTGGAATGAGCGTGACTGTATAGCTCAGGAGACAGGTTCCAGCCCCAGCTCTGCCACTTTCTTAGCTATATGATTGGGGGCTAGTCACTTCATTTCTTTGTATCTCACCTCTAAAATAGGCTCAGAACACTCTGCCTTCCCTCCTTCAAAGTATCGTTAATAGACAATGAAAAAGTGGATACAAAAGTATCTCAACAACCTCAGCACTTTGTGAGGGCTTCTGGCAACAAGGCCCATTTCTTGAAGGTGTGCAAGCTAAGGACCCTTGCAAAACAGTGTGGGACACGTGCAGACATGTCCTGGGATGTGGGGGCTTCAGGAGGGCAATGGGAGACTTTCTCATAGTGTCCAGTCCCATTCCACTGCAGCAGATTCATTCTCTCTTCCAGAAGCTAGATGTGGAGGAGCCAGACAGCGCCAATTCATCTTTCTACAGCACGCAGTCTGCACCTGCTTCCCAGGCCAGCCTGCGAGCCACCTCCTCTACCCAGTCCCTGGCCCGCCTAGGCTCTCCCGATGATGGCAACTCAGCTCTGCTCAGCCTTCCTGGCTACCGGCCTACCACTCGCAGCTCTGCTCGTCGCTCCCAGGCTGGGGTATCCAGTGGGGCCCCTCCAGGTGAGAAGACTGCAGGGAATTACCACACCCCAAAATTAGACTGGAAGTGGATCCTGGCATAGGGAAGAAGCAAGCTTTTACAAATCCAAGGCTGGACTTCTTGCTACCTTCCAGCGCCAGCATCAGCACTATGTGCTCCTCCTCCCTGCAGTCTCAGGGCCTTGCCTGTCCATCTAGGGGCTGTGCTGTAGTAATCTCAGCCAGAATGAACCACGGATGCTCACATAAGGGGCCTAGGATTCCCAGCAGGACAGTGACACTTCTGCGCTGGGAGTCATCCAGGCCCCTTCTTGGGGGGTGATGGGCTGCTGAAAGGGCCAGGCTGGCCAGACTCTTCTTGGAGGCTCTTGCCCTTTGGGCTCCAGGGACCCACTGGGTATCAATTCCAGGCCCTTAATTAGTTTCTCTTGGTCACCAAGCCTTAGCAGATAAATAAGATGTAGTCAGTCTTTGCATGTGACCTCTTATCTCCCCAGGGAGACAGCAGTGGGCAAGCCCCCATGGTAGAGGTGGACCATGTGCTCCACTCCTGTACCTGCATCACAGCCGGACTCTGGTGTACTGGACTTGAAGCCCATGGGGTTGGTGGGAGGCTGGTGAGACGTCAGGGCCAGTGGGCAACCTGCTGACTCTAGCCCCATTTGCTGCAACTTCCCTGCCCTCCACAGGAAGGAACAGCTTCTACATGGGCACTTGCCAGGATGAGCCTGAGCAGCTGGATGATTGGAACCGCATTGCAGAGTTGCAGCAGCGCAACCGAGTATGCCCCCCACACTTGAAGACCTGCTATCCTCTGGAGTCCAGGGTGAGCCCTAGGGTCACTGTGCTGGGCCTCCCACCCTAGTGCCACCTGCTGAGGAGGGTGACTTTCTCATGCTTCCAGATGGAAGAGCCAGCAGTGGGGAGCTGAGGGTGATGTCACTGTGGGTGGGCAAGAGCTGAGAGGAGTCTGCTTGGGACTGCTCTTCGTGGGGCCATTTGTCCAGGTTGTAGGTTGGGAAGAGAACTGGAAGGCGGGGGCCTTGTGAGGTAGGAAGGATCCAGCTGCTCCAGGCAAGTGGAGAGAGTTCTGGGGAAGCCCCAGTTCTTGTTCCTCCTCCATATAACTGGGGTCTGCTGACTGCTTCTTCCACCCCGGGCAGCCTTCCCTGAGCCTGGGCACCATCACGGATGAGGAGATGAAAACCGGAGACCCCCAGGAGACCCTGCGCCGAGCCAGCATGCAGCCAACCCAGATAGCTGAAGGCACTGGCATCACCACCCGGCAGCAGCGCAAACGGGTCTCCTCAGAGCCCCACCAGGGCCCTGACACCCCCGAGGTAGGCGACTTTGGCTCCTGTGCTTTGTTCTACCTAGCACTGTGCCCAGGTCAGGCCCAGCTCACCAAGTTTGAAAAGTGGATTTAAGAGCAGCCTTCTATCCAAGGGCCTAATGCATGGATGGGGACTGGTGGGAAAGGAGGCCTCTGGCTCAGAGGTGGGGAGGGGAGCAGGTTGGACAAGATGACTTGCAAGGTTCACTTGGCTTGGGATGTGTTGTCTTGCCACTGTCTGCCTGTGTTCTTCCTCGTAGTCAAAGAAGGCCACCAGCTGTTTCCCACGCCCCATGACTCCCCGGGACCGACACGAAGGGCGTAAACAGAGCATTAGTGAGGCCCAGAAGAAAGTGGCTCCAGCTGTTGTTAAGCAGGTTAGCCTGGGGGTAAAGGGGGCTGAGGGGAGGCCCTACTGGGGCAGCAGGCTGGCCTGGGAATGCAGCGGTGGATTTTCCAGTCTGACAGACCCTCCCCCACAGGCTGACCGGCGCCAGTCAATGGCCTTCAGCATCCTCAACACGCCCAAGAAGCTGGGGAACAGCCTTCGGCGGCGGGGGGCCTCAAAGAAGGCCCCATCCAAGGCCTCCCCCAACACCCGCAGTGGAACCCGCCGCTCTCCACGCATTGCTACCACCACAGCCAGCACTGCCACTGGTGCTGCCTTCACTGCTGCCACTGCCATCCCTCGGGCCAAGGGCAAGGTGGAGGCACTGGCTGGGAGTGGGGAGGGAATCTGATGAGAGTATGGGCACCTCCCCCAGACCAGCCCATAGGGTGGCATCCAAGGTAGGGCTAAGCTAGGCCACTGGAGGTTGGGAGGGGGTTAAGAGAAGGTGTCCCCTGTCCTAGTTAGCGGTTCATTCTTGAAGAGAAGAGATAGATGTCCCTATTCCCACTGAGAACACCCAGAGCTTCTTAGGCACAGCCAGCAACTGGTAACCCAGAGCTAGATGTGTCCAGGGCTCACAAAGCAGGGGATCCCTCCCAGGTGTGTGTGGGAGCAGGAAGCAGGCTGGCATCATGAATAATATCTGGCACCGTGACTGTGTGTCTGTCTCTTTCAGGCAAAGCACTAAAGGGCTGGTACCAGTGAGTGGCCCCACCTGTGTCCCTGTGGCTGACCTCGCCTGGTCCTTCTCCTCTACTGTCCCTCTCAGTGCCTTCTCTCAGCTCCCAGGCCAATGGTGGCCAAACCCCTAGAGACAGTGATGCCTGCCTGTACCTTGGCGCCTGGACCTTCAGCATCTTCTCTAGACACCTTCTCAGAGCTGGCCCAGGAGGCCTGGAACTTGGACAGTGTGGGTGCTCTACCTTGCCTCCTGATTTTTTCTTAGAGCAAAGTCACTTCATCACAGCCAGATTTGAGGCTGGCTTTGAGTGGCTGGGTCCTCGGGCCCAGGCAGTCTTCCTGAACTCAGCCTCTGGATCTAGAAGGGACCATTGGAGGAGCAGGCCCTGCTTCCTGCTTCTCCTGGTGGCTGGGCCTAGCAGGGACCCTTGCTCTTGAAGTCCAGGACTGGGCATGGCCAGGTGGGAGCACCCACACCCAGGTGCTCCCATCCATCCAAGGGCATAGGTGCCCAGAGGATGCTCTTTTCTAGGATAGATGGGCTCTGTGTCTTTGTGGGTGGGGGGGGGAACTTCAGCAACAGACCACACCCCACCTTCCCCAGACTTGCACTGGGATGGAATTTGGAGTGATGGGAAGGTTTTTAAGGGCCAGGGATGGATCTTTTCTAAATGTTATTACTTGTAAATAAAGTCTATTTTTCTCCCTTGAGTAGTGAGCTGCCTTGATCTGTGTGAGAAAAAGAGGGATCTCTGGGCTCTTCAGTACCTACCTTTGTCCCTGCGGAGTCTTCCAGACACTTCCCTTCTTTCATCCATTCCTTCCTCTTGGGAACACATTTTCTCCAGGAGCTTCCCATACTCGATTTCTGGCCTGTGTTCCCCTGAGTCTGGTTTTGTCTTTAGCTTGCCAATGGCAGTCCCTCTCTTCCCATAACTCTCTCCTGGGACAGGCATAGTTCCTGTGAGTGAACTGAGGCCTAAATGACTGAGCAGATGTCAAAACGCTTCCACTGAACAGTACTTTATGAGGACCCATTGTGGGCCCTGCTAGGTATGACAGATACAGTTATGGATCGGAAGTAGTCACTGCCCTCTTCCTTTCCCTGGTATAGTCCATTAGAGTGAAAAGAAAAGAAAACAACATGAAGTCAGTCAGTGCAGAGTGTGGACTTCTCTGAAGAGGTGGCGTTTCAGCCAGGCTGCAGAATTCACCTGCTGAGATGGTGAGGAAGAGGGGACCAAATGAGCAAAGGTGCAGGAGGAGGAAGCATTAAGGAAACAGTAGTGATTTTCTAGTCTCATCTGAAGGGAGTCTGAATTGGTGCGAGGGGAGAACTAAAGCAGAGGAGGAGGGGACAGCAGGGAGTGGTCAGGGAGGATGAGCTGCTCGCCTGCACAGCCTGTGCGCAGAGACCGTTCACATTCCAGGTAGGTAGTTCTCAGGCTCTGGTCAAGGTGGTGCTGTTGCTGGCCCTGGGCTTTGGCTGGAGGGTGGGGCTTGAGTGGGGGGCAAGACTGTCTTCAGCCCAGCCTGGGGATATAAAGGCAGACAAGGATCAGAGCCAAGGAATGGAGGGACATCTCTTGTCACCTTCCTCCAGGCGATGCCTCCCATGCCCGGCTCCTAAGTTCCTTTTTGTCTCCACCTCAAGCTGACCTTGGGGAATGGTGGGCATTAGCTTGGAGGCTGCTCTGGCAGAGCCCACCCTTTCCTCCACACACAGAAGCAGAGCTCCTGTCCCTGGAGGCCTTCCCTCAGGTTCCTTACCCAGAGCTGGGCCAGGATGATGTGATGCTGGACAACTTGTTCAGGGTCCACGAACACACAGGAGAAGTTGGTGCTGCGCAAGGTGGGGCTCAGCTTCTCCAGCACCAAGGCCCTCCACAATCGGGTGCTTGTGCTCCCATGCTCCCGGCTGGCGCAGAGGGGAGGGAAAGGTCATGAGAGAGCCACAGAAGGAGACCTCCCTCCCGCCGGCCAGTGTAACTGCTGCAACCCTCACCTGGTGTTGCCTTCCCACAGCCGGCCTGGGAGGTGCTCGATGAAGGAACCATTGCCTAGCCAGTAGAGAATACTGAAGTAGGGGAAGCGGCTGCAGGCAGTACAGGACAAGGTCAGCGTTCCATCTAGGGACACATACAGCTGTTAGCCCTTCCATACAGCAGGCCCTCCCCTCTGCCAGGCTCTGCCCTGCCCACCCTGCCACCTCCCCGCAGTCCCCAGAATCAGGAACCTGGAGTACTGCTGTGTACATCATTAGGCAGGAAAGTCCGTTAAAAGGGAAGTGCAATTGTCCACAAGACAGGCCCTGGGTCTGAGCATGGGAACTGTGGGGAAGAGTCCTTGGCTCATGTGCTGACTCCTCTTCTGAGCCTGTTTCCTCAGGAGGACCTTTTCTGGTGCCCACCTCTGTTACTGCAGGAGCCCAGGCCAAGGAGGCAGCTCTAGCAGGCTGCTGCCCCTCTGAGGACCAGAGGACAAGCAGAATCCGGGAGGAGGGGCTGGGCTATATAGTAAATTGTGATCAAGGCTCCTGGAGATCCTCTGACCATTCCTTCTGAGCTCTCTCTGTTGCTTTTGATAAGGGGTATCTTGGGAGCTGAGCCCTGAGCCCACACCCATGCACGCTGCTGGGTTGTGGAGGAAGAATGGTGAGCACTTGGCCAAGCTGGCCTGGCTGGCGGTACCTGGCATAAGGTGGCACCAAGAGAGGGGCACTCAGGAGTCAACCCAACTCTTCAACCCTCTGTGCCCATACCCTGCCCTCTGACCCCTGTGCCCTCCTGGACCCCCATCATAATTGCTCCTTACTCAATGGCACTTCCACTTCTGGCCAGGTCACCTCCAATGCTGGGCACCACTTAGCTGCTGGGAGCACTGGGGGCTGGAAGGGGCAGGGGTCCTTGGCATTCCCAGCTGAGGCAGTGGCAGCTGTGATGGGCTGAGGTAGAGGTGTGGCTCTTGTCAGGAGAGTGACGATGTGGGCACACAGGAACAGGACCCACAGTGGACTGGGATCTGAGGAAAGGAGAGTCACAGAAGTCAGCAGCTGCCTGGTAATGCATCCTGGCTCCCACCTTGACTAGAGTTGGAGTTGCTGCCTGATTAAGGATGTAACTCCAGCCCAGATCTTCCTGGGCTCTGGCCAGGGAATCAGAGGGAGTAGAAGGGCCCCTCAGCCCCCACCCCTTAGCCCTTTTAAATGGAGCACAGAACAGCTTTGGAACAGAGACAGAGCCATAGCATCTGGATAGGTGGTGGAGTCCACCTGGGGGTGAAGGCTCAGGGTTAGCCACACTGCTCCGTTCTGTTCACAGACCCCACCCCACCTGCCCATGCATAGCCCCATGCCCCACCTGGTGTCCAGTTCTGTCTCATGGTCATGATGCATGTGTCAGGAACTGGTGAGCCTGGCTCTATATATCTGTGACCACTTCCTCCTCTCTGGGGAAAGTTGGGGGAGGAGAGAATGATGACCTACTTCTCCCACATTTTCTCAGAAGCTCACCTAGATCCCAGACATGTGTGTGGTGCTCTTTCGTTTCAACTCCACAGCCCCTCTATAGTTTGATACTGTCCTTCCATCCCAATTGATAACTCCTAGAGAACAGGCATCTAGCATAGGCCCTTTCAGCACTTAGAAACAAAGCTGGGAGATCATCTAGTGACAATCTTCCCCCACCCTAGCTCTTATTACCATTAATAGTATGACGGTTATCTAATCCAAACACACCTCTTCATTAGGTATAGAGAAACTGAGACCCAAGAGGGACCAGGAACTTACCTAGTCATAGAGAGGCAATGCTCACTCCACTGTCCAAGCTGGTTCTGGGAAAGGCAGGATGCAGTGAAATCCTTCTGGGAAAGTACTGCCCACCACTCTCTATTTCACTTTCACTTTAATTCTAACTGGGGAATCCACAGTAGGCACTAACAGAAGGCAGCTGCTGCACCTCTTCTTGAGCCAAAGCTCACAGTGGCCAGAAACCTTCCTGTTAACTCCCAAGCCCCCTACTCTCCAGATTCTATCAGACTGGGATCTTTAAACCCCCCACCCCTCCCAGGGTCACCAAGGGTATGAACTAGAGGAGGGTCTCTCACAGATCAATTTTCCTGTCCTGGCCAAGGGTCAGGACTTTGGTGTCCACATCCATTCTTCAGACCCGGCCTCCACGTCCGTATAAGCAGGCCTCTGCTTCCTCTTCACATTCACACAGACACTCAAGAGGATAACCTTCCCAGGCACTGGGGACCTCAGGTTGGATAATTTTGACCATTTCAGGCTCAGTGCCATACCAGCTCATCCACAATCCACATCCTGGCCTTTCTCAGGCTCCCCACTGACCCAAACACCATCCCCAGGGTCGCTGTGTCACGCCACACCCACACCTCCTCCTCACTTTTTTCATCCTAGCCCCTCTGGCCAGAGCTACAGGCCTAGGTTCACCAGTAAATCTAGATTCCCCCAACCTGGCTCCTGAGAAGTCCCTAAAAGGCCTCACTTTTCAGAAGCTCCCTTCTGGGAGCTCCAAGGCCCAGTCCAGCTGTGTCTAGCTCACATGAGCCACGCCACGGGACACATATCAAGAGCACCTCCTGCCCTGTGCACAGAAACTCTCACAGCCACACTGAGAACTTGGAATACAAGCTCTAGAGAGCTGGCCCCAAGAGGAGGGGAGGGCACTTCCCGGGGAAGAGGCAGCATGGTCCAGCCCTGACTCCAGCAGCAGGAGAGGCTATCAATATGTTAATCTGGTCACTGACGGGACAAATGCGCTGGGGCAGGGCCAGGACTAGGGTGAGGCAAGTGAGGCACCTAGGATGCAAACTCTAAGGAGGCCCTCATTTTCAGGGCTGTGCAAGTATCTGGAAGCAGAAAGCCCAGGGCTGGGGGATCCAATGCATGCGTATACCATGTGTTGACCAGAGTTGCGTGTCTGAGGTTTGTGATTTCTGTGACCAGGAGGATGGGAGAGCTGATAATAGAGCCAGGGAGCAAGGAGATGGAATTGGGTTTAGAGGATGCATCAGGAACAGAGCCAGCTGTGATCCCTAATTTTTTTGTGTGGAAAAACCAGATTCATATTCCTAATTTAGACATAGGAGACAAAGTCACATCCTCTTCTCTAGGTATTTAGCTCACATTTCTCCTCTTCTCAGTTTCTCTCTTACCTCCTGCCCAAGAGGCTCTTAGGCTGCAAGACTCAGGGGAAATTTCTTTCCAGGAGCACCAGTATGTCCAGGAGCTAGTAGTCAAGGCTGCCTAGGGTTTGTGAGAGACACAGTCCACTGGCACACAGGTGGGGGATGGCAGGGAGAGGAGATAGGACTCTATCTTAGAGTGTAACCAAGAACAGAGTTGGGCCACTGGGAGGTTATGGGACTCAGACTGTTAAGTATGGAAAGAGAGCCTTGGGCCCCCTCAGCTGACCTCAGTTTCTCACATGAACCTGATGTGGCAGTAGGGGGGACAAAAGTAAAAAGTGTGATCCCTGGTCACTTTGACCAGTCCCCATACCCCTAAGGATGGTCCTACGGCAGCATGAGCAGTGGGTACCACAGGAAGCTACAGCTGGGCGAAAGAAACCAAGGTTGAGAGTGGCCCTGAGGAGGGCAGGTGGTGGCAGGGCACTGGCCACAGGCAGTTAGGGTGGAGAGCCACCTCAGTCTGAAAGGAGACCCAGTGATGCCCCAGGGCCCCTTATGCCACAGGACAGGAGCCCAACTTTCCACCACTCCCAGGGATGTTGGGAGAGGAATAGAGGAAAAGCAGGGCCAACCACCCCCAGACCCCAGCTCTCAGATAGGGGCAGTAAAGACAAGACTCCCTGAGGATGGCAGGACAGTGATGGGAAGACGAAAAGCAAGATGGATGTACAGTTTTCCAACCCAGCTCATGGAGCTTTATTCAGATGGGAGTGACAAGATCCTGCTTGATTCCTGCTGACCTTGAAGGGGCAGGCCCTATTGGGCCATATTCCCTAGACATCCAGAGCCGAAGGCCCATGTATGCCCTCCCACTTTCTCCAAAACTCCTAGGACCAGGGCTGGGTCCTGCCTGGAAGCACCTTTTCAGAATCATACTCACCTAGGCCTTATCCCTCTTCCCACCTACCCACCACTCCTTTTGTCAGGCCCAGGCAGGACGCTTGAATGACGAAGCTCATGTAGGGATATTCCCTGGGCTGGGAATCCCCTGCCAGCTTCAAGGGCACATTATCTGACAACATGGAGAAGTTGACATTTGTCATAGTCCTTCTGCCACCCGCATGCACACACACACGTACATGCATGCGCATACACACACTCACTCAGGCTTTCAGGAAGGAAGTGATGTGGCAGTGGTATTTGGCGCATGTCACCACTCCTGGGCTGAAGGGTCAGCTTGCACAAGGGGCCCACAATCACTGCTGCCAACAGTAGCCCCCATGGCCCAACTATATATAGATGGCATCTATTCTCGGCTGACTACAGCCCTGCCCAGGGGCAGGTTACCCAGGTTGCTGGTTGTTCCAGTTGTCCCAAATCTTCAATGAATTCCAAGGCCCCTGAACTTCCCTTGTTGGAAGTGGCACAGATGAGGTTTCACTTGCCTTATCCAGCCTATAGCTCCTGGGCAGGGGGAGACAGTCAGACACAATACCCATCCTGTGTCCCAGACGGCAGGGGAGGGGAGACACCCCACCCTTCAGTGTTCACCTATGGCACCAGTCTGAGCTCTTTAGCTCTTCTACACTGAGTGTACCAGGCTTGAGCCCCACAGACGGGCTCCCCCCCACAGAGGGAAGGGGAGTATGTGGGCTGAGGTCTCAGCTACCTTACAACCCACCAGTGCTCTCGGCCTGAGGTGAAACGTTTCCTTTAACCCCAAACTTTCACAGCTCTGCTGCCACCCTGCTCAAGCAGGGAGGATGAGGCCTGGAGGGGGGCAATTCCTATGCTGCACAATAAAAAAGGTTTTTAAATATATTCATCAAAATAGTTTTCTTTTAAAAAGCCCCCCACTGCTGACAGCCCCACTGGCTGGCTCTCCATCATCTCCCTCCCCAGCCCGGACACAGCCGGAAGGGTCCTGAGTGGCCCAAGCGCCCCTTTGAGTCTTTCCCACCCAGGAGGTTTTTGTGGGCAGGAAGAAGAGTGCCCTGAGGTCCATGGCGGGTGGGGTGGGTTCTTCACTGACGCTCCTCCTGCTATTCCAGACCCAGGATGTAATTGATGCCTTGCACCAGGCCAATGATGACAGGCTGCCAGGCTACTAAGTATCGAAGCCAATCCAGCAGTTGCCCATACATGACATGAGGCCTCTCCCAGCTGTCAGTATATTAAAGAAAAGAGGCTATGTGTAAGAGCTGCACAGTTGAGCTAGCATGAGTGGGAGGGGTTTCCCAGGTCCTCTCTGGGTCTGCCCACACTTTCCAACTACTCCACAGCCTAGAGGAAAGGAAGCTGCTTTCCAGAAGGGCCCACCTAGCCTCTCCTCAACTCCCCATGTTGGAGTGAAGGGCTGAACACAGAGAATGGGGTAAGGAGGTCAGAGGGGATTGGTGTGGAAGATAGGACTGACATGAGAGAGAGGTGGAGAGGTGAGGCATAGCTCTCCATACCAACATGCAGGGAGGGCCTCCAGTGTGACACTGTCTCTAAGATGGGACTACCAGTGTGAGTAAACATAGCCTAAGGCTGCTGTAAATGTATATGTGACAATGGCTGCAACAAGGCTGGGAGTGAGATAAGGTAATCCCAAAGGTTCTTCTAATGTCCAAAATTCAAGGTTTTCTAGGTCAAAAAAGGGGTTGTGTCTAAGGACAGAGCCAGAAGGGAGCACGGACCAGGAGGCTAATCGTAAGGGGATAACCCCTGGCAGAGGTTCTCAAGAAGGCCCCATCCAGGTGCACTAAACACCCCAGTGAGGCCAAGCGGCCCTGGAGATGAATTTCCTTCCTTTTGTTTTACATCTAAATGTTGGATGAGAGATGTGGAGAGGGGGCCTAGAAAGCCCAGCTCTGGGGAAAGCACACGGAGAGGTTCATGAAACTGTGGGGGAACCACTTCAAAGGCATCAGAAAGATCAGCTCAGCCCAGGTCCTGAGCTAAGGGAAGCCGCACACCTCAGTTTGGCCATGGAGTTACTTAATTGTTCCTGAACTGGGCCCTAGAAGAACCTAGCAGGGAACCTGAAAGGGGATAGTTCAGAGTCTCCTGTTCAGTGGCTGTAGGAGTGTGCTAGGAACAGTGTTTCCCACGTAGCTCAGCTAGTGTACAGGGAAGAGAGAACAGAGAATGATGGAGCAGACAGAAAAGGCAGCTGGGAGAACAGAGGGGAGAAAGCTGGGTCCCTGGACCCCAGGGGAAGTGAAGGTGGGGCCAGAGAAGTGGCTGGGCACTTTCCAATTGACAGGCTGTGAGGAGGAAAAGGAGGGTGAAGGCAAAATGGGGAGAGTTGGTTGGGTAGGAAGTGGCAGCTCGGAGGAGCACAGGTCCTACATTGAAAATAGACGGAGACATGAGGTTCCCTCAGCTATCCCTGTTTCTTGCAGGCCCTTCACTGGCACAGAGCTGGTCTCTAGCACTGCATGTCATAGGTAAGGTATCACTTATTAATTACATAGTCTTGAACAAGTTATTCAACCTCTCTAACATTTCACTTGTAAAGTACGGATAATATTATTCAGCTCATAAAGCTGCGGGAGAATCAAATGAGCTAATACAAGTAAAGCACTTAACACAGTGCCAGGCACACAGCAGGCAAGCAAGCAGTAACTAGTAGATGCTATTACTATCAATTTACCCTTGAGGGATACAGAATTAAGGTGGGAAGCTGCCCCATGTTCCACCCCCAACTTCCCTAGCACGGAAGCCAAATAGAATGGTGGACATGTTCCAGGTTGGGGGCAGGAGGGAGGGCCCTGGGGGGGGGCCCCAACCGCAGGATAACACTAGTCAGTGTTTTCTTCCCAATACCCACTCCCAGCAAGGACTCAAACAAAGGATACGGATTGCTGAACATCCTCTTGAGGTCTACCTTCTCTTTACAGTAGGGACACGTCTGCTTTTTTCCCACAATGCACCAGCCACGGATGCAGAACTCATGGAATCTGAGCACCATGGTCAAGGGAAATGGTGGAAAGCCAGGATGGTACACCAGCCCTGTGCCAGTCTTCCAGGTGCCTGTGTACCAGCTCTGGAGAAAGGCTGCAATCCTAGCCTCACTTCTTCTCAGCTCTGTGATCTTGGGCATGTCCTTTCTCTCTGAGCCTGTTCCTCCCATGTAAAGTGAGGATAATGATCCCTATCTTACAGGGCTGTTATAGGGCAAAATGGAGCTAACACATGGATCTCCCACCATAGGCACAGAATGGGAGCTAAGTAAATACACACTGAATCCTGGAAGTGTTATTCAGAACAGGGGTTTTGATTCTACACAGAGGGACCCTGTCAGAGGGTCCAATCCTGGGTCAGCTAGTGCAGCCTCAGGCTGCTCTCAGATCTAGCCAGGTGATAACCACTGTTGACATAAGGGTGGGTCCAATCTGTGTGAAAGGGCGAGGAAGGCTGCAGTTTTTGCCCTCTTATGGCTCTCCTACACTCAAAGGTCTAGACAGCATGCCCCAGATCAAAACTACCTCCTTCCCTCCCTAACTGGAGCATGCAGGT